TTATTTGAAAATGAACGATTCATAAATGAATAATATAGATTTTTATTATAATGACACAGACATTAAAATATATTTGAAATAACACAAAGAAATATTTTTTAATTGTTATTTAATAATAATAATAAACAAAATAATATAATTAAGTCGAAAAAAACTAAAAGTTTAAGCACAAAAAGTGATCACACGAATGCACTAAAAACAAACAAAAATCGATAAAGTCTGTGTTTTATCATAATGATAAGGATTTGTACATTATTTTTTGACAATTGAGAACAATGATAACTTAAGCGCTTTTTAAAAGATATTAACATATAAAATATGAAATATTGATGAAAATTGTTATTTATAACAGTGAATTATTTCATGAATATGAAGTTTAATCACAAAGATATTATTTTAATTGATTACTCAAACAATGTTATTATGGGCAATATCAATAGACTTTTTAACACGATAACAACTCTATCATAATGTTTTTAACAAAAAAATTAAACCAATTACCAAAATAATGTTCATTTGTAAACAATTATAAATAAAATATACAATGAAAAATGATTATGTTATAAAAAAAATAATAATTTAAATTTACTCAACTATACAAAATTTTCTATTTATCACAACTATTTCACGTATTTAGTCATTGATAAACTGTTGTTCACAAGTCTGTACCGCCTTATTTTTAGAACTCCATAAAGTTTTGTTTTTTATTTTTTATTTTTTCTAAAAAACAAAAAAACAAAAAATCGAAAGTACAGACTTAATTTTGAAAAAATACCAATATTGTTCAATTATTTTACACGACATCGGGAAATTGTCGGAATATTAGACAGCCTTTTTCAAAAATAACGATCCCGTTATTTGATTTGACACAACTCAATATCTCGCAACACAAACTCTACGTTGTAGGTCAAATCATACAACAATAAACACATTGGTAAATTGTGATGTTGTTGTTAATGTAATTTTGTAACTAAATAACATTTCGTTAATTTTTCATTTTGATTTAAAACAAAAATGTAATTTTATTCTTTAAACAAAAGAAAATGAAATAAATCGTTTTAAAAACACTAAAACAAAAATAAAGATAATATTTCATAATACTGACTGTTGATTGATATTATTGTTGTGACAACACTATTAAGCACACTATCATTTGAACAATGTTTGTGCTCTTGCCTTTTTTGTCTTGACAAAAGAAAATGAAATAATGAGTTTAAACAAAAAAAAATGAGCAAACTATTAATAATTTTGGGTTTTGATATTCTTGTTATTGTTGTGACAACACCATCAGTGTATTAATATTATGCGATACTTTCTTGCGTGTTATTTTTTTATTTATTATAAAGGAAAGCTTGACTTTGAAAACTTTTGTCATTTATTTTATCAGCTTTTTATAATAAAATGCACTTTTGGGATCAGTTACGTGTATTTCAGAAACAAAAATCCCTTTATTTTAAATTTTATATAAAATTTTTATCCGTTTGAAATTTATTCATATAAAAAACTATAAAACAGACTTTTGGAAAACAATTTATATTAATTTTATTTTTTTAAATGATTTTCAATTGTATTTCAATAATAAATGAATTATATCAACAAAATTGTCATTGAAAATGAAAAAAACAAAATGAATGACACATCTAAATTTTCTATATTATAGAAGTGGAGGTAGTTTAGTTGGTAAAACGTTTTATTTAACAAAAATCTTTCTGATTTATGTTATAAGTCAAAATACAAAAAGTAGTGGGTTCAATTCCCACCTTCCACGTTTTTATTTTTTTTCACTTACACAACAATATTTTATATCAAAATCGTGAAATTATTTGGTTTATAAAACATGAAAATCAAATTCATACTTAAATATTTTACAAAAATCCAAAATACAATCAATAACATAACAGTTTACAAAATTAGAATAAATGTATTATTAGAATTCATTGGTTTTTAAGATAATATTAAATAACAAAACTGGTTTTCCACATTTTAATGAAATTAAACTATAAAACCATTTGAATTATTATGAAAACACATGAAAATAATCAAAAAAACAAGAAACAGATCAACTTCAATTAAAATATTTTAAATTTTTATTAAATTGACATTTGTATTTTTTGTGATGATTGAAAAACAAAAAATAAAAACAAAACAGAATAACAAAAATAATAACACATTTTGTTTATAAAACAGGACTTACTGTATTAAAATTTAGTTCTGAAATGTAAATATGGACTATTTTTAATTTCTATTTGTCATTAGTTGTATATAACATTTCAAAAACATCTCAAAAATATCATGTTCAATAAATTCTTAATACTGTGTTTCTGCTTATGCTTTATGACCACATTCGCCAACTGGGAAACAAATCTTCCCGTACCACATTCCGAGTATTTCCTTTACGAATGTACAAATCAATCAATATACTTCACGATACCAATTAACGGCACGACTGACGAGTGCACGCAAACCCCATATGGCGTTTTTAACACAACCGATTACGCCACAGATCTCAATATTCGTAAAGTGGAACTGACTAACATGAAATTTATATTTACTACGTTTAAAACGATCATAGCGGAATATTCGACAATTGCAAATTCCGTCTTTGGATATGACGTCGTTGACAAGTTTTATTCATACCAAACGACATTCAAGAATTGCAACTTCACTTTATTGAAATTGGATGTAAGATCACAGTCACAATTTTATGGAACTGATTTGTATATGACTGTGTTCAATACCACACAAATGTTGAATTTGAACCCTTTAAAGTTATATATTAATTGGTGCACTATTAGAAATTCGACACTGGAAACCATCAATGTGGTTCAAAACACACAAAAAGTTGTGGGTACAACACACTAATAAAAACGATTTATACACACACACTGTCAACTATTTGACTTTAGATCACAACACAGTTTCTAATAGCATTTTTAAGAGTATTACTGGCTATAGCTACATTTCAAATAAAACACGTTACGATAATGTTCTATTTGAAAATATCAATTTCATGTTCTTTTCGTTTGAAAATGATTATTTTACAGGTGTGACCGTAAGTTCAGCAAAAATCAGTTATGGCTCTTTCAACTTGACTCATTTTGGTAAAATTACATTTGAAAACACAACTTTTGAAAACACCAACTTTATATTAAATAAAAGTGGCGTGATTGTATTCAAGAAGTGCAATTTTAAAAAGACTCAGATCAATGGGAAAGTGATGAGTAACACTTCGATTGATTGCATTTTTGAGAACATGAATACTAATTGCACAGAACCTATTAAACCAGTGCAAGAAAGCAGTGATACTTCGTATAGTGAAAATGGTAAAGTTAAAGTGGACGATTTGGGAACGTACAGTAACAATGTCAAAATGTATGCCATATTTGCATATGTTATACTTTACACACTGTTTTGTTGTGTTGCAATGATTATTGCCATTGTTGTGATTGCACAAAAATTACGAAGGGGACAAAGGAACTAACAATTAAACACTATTTGGTGTTTTGTGTTTTTTTTATCATTTAAATTTTAATTAAAAATTTCATATAAAGAGCAGCATAAAACTGTCGTACAGCAGAAAATAGTCGTACACATTGTTTTATAATATTTTTCTGTATTAAGTCGGGTTTTTATTATTTCAAAACCCAATTATTTTCTTGATTGTTTAGTCAAATTTTATATGTGAAAAAAATATTCATGATTTATTGGTTTGTTTGATACTAAAATCATAAGTGTAAGACTATTTTCTGTTGGTATTTAATAACAGTAAACTATTTCACTCAGATACATTTCAATTATTTAGACAAATATTTTGTTTAATTTATTAATAAATGGTTATTGACAATATTATTGACTTTTATGACAAATTGACAACATGTTTTTTACTTGAATAATGTTGAACGAATCACTGAAATGTTGTTTTAATGGTAATTAAATTATATCAACAAAATTACATTGAAAATGAAAATAGAACAAATATGAATGACACGTCTAAAATTTCTATATTATAGAAGTGGAGGTAGTTTAGTTGGTAAAACGTTTTATTTAACAATAATCTTTCTAGATTTATGTTATAAGTCAAAATACAAAAAAGTCGTGGGTTCAACTCCCACCTTCCACGTTTTTATTTTTATTTTTTATTTTTATTTTTTTAATAAATCAAAATAAAAACCAAAAAAAATAAGTCCAAAAATATTTTTATGTTAAGAGAAAGGACGGACATGGTGACGAAGGACGGGAATATAGGCCGAAGGACGTCCTTTGTGGTTTAGGGACGTCCTCCCACTATAAAGAACGTCCTTCCTGTGTATAGGATGTCATTTCTATTATTTTCGTGTCCGCGGCATTTTTAAAACTATATAATGAGTTATAATATTACTATGAATTTACTATTATAAAATATAATTATTTCCAAATTTAAATTAAATCAAAGACAAATTTTAAAGAACAAGTAATTTCGTTATAAATTAATGGTTTTTATAAAAAATGCAAATTTAATTAGTTTTTCAAAGAAAACTCAATGGTAAAATGAAAAAAAAATGATAAATTTTTATAAACAATAATATATAACGAAAT